CGTTGGGGACCATGGAAAGCGCTTCTGCCATGCAATTTCTCGTTTTGTCGTAACTCAACTGTCATTGACAGTCAACGCCCCCCATCTTTTTGCCCATCATTTTCCCCAACTCCTCGGTTTTCCATTTCTCCCTATCCAAACCGCTCCACTTTGCCGCCCTGCCGCCCTGCCGCCTCTAGAGTCCCGGAAAATCAACGACTACGACCTCAACCTTAAGAATTGAACAATTGCGATGCAGAGAACGAAGGAAAGGATGATTTTATGAAAAGGGAATCCAATCCATGGAAATAAAAGTCACATGAAGATTCGATATTGATCAAAATTTGCAGAATCAACAATCTCTTTCATAATTTTCGGAAATTTGTTAGCTTTTATTTATTATCTTGACATAGTAGAAGTAGTTTATTACAACAGCAGAAGTTAAGGAACAGCATTAAAAGTTAGTTGATATTTGAAGTATATTTTAGAAATGGCTTTTCTGGTTGATTACCCAAAGGCCTTTAGTCCTAACGCAGGCCTAAATTTTAGTTTTTTGTAAAACTACTTAATATGTTACTGGAAGTAAAAGTAAAGTACTCCTTGAAAATAAATATGTACACTGCGATTCCTGTTATATACCTTAGCTTAAGAATGCTTAAAAATTATTAGGCTGAGGTATTAAACAGGAGTGCCAGTGTCTGTGCCTAAAAATATCTGATAATTTGCTTGATTTACTAGTCGATATTCTGTTGCAGTGTATTATTTTTTTCCGGACAGTTCTACGTGGGCCAGTCGTTTTGTCAAGACAACCATTTGTGGGCACGACATAGCTATTGTCGCTGGCTGACATCCACTTCATCCTTACCTCAGTGGCAAGAGAAAAGAAGGGGGAGGTTTGGGGGGAATGGGGATGTTTATCAATGCTTATCGCCGTCAGCCGCCGCAGTCAGACAAGTGGAAAACTATACACGCCCAGAAAACAAGAAATACAAAAAAACAGCCGGATGCGTTGGCTTGACAACTTATTTCAACATCTTGTTGTAGCTGTTCGTTGTACGCTTCCTATTTTCATTTATCGCAGTAAACTTTTCCGCAGATGGCACTGCAAAAAAGTTAACTGAAGGAAAATGGGGGGAAGGGGGTGGTGATGTGCCGTCGCCAAAGTTTTGCCAATACTTTCCGATGCCTTTGTTGCTGCTGGCCCATTGTGTCTGCGTATGAGCAAATATCTTATTGCAAAATATTTGCGTATACTTCTTAATATTAAACTGGCTTGGAGTTCAAGAAATGCCAGCTGCAAAGTGGAAAATGAAAAGCAAACTGAGGCAGCTGCATGGAAATTTAAGCTGATTTGGGGCCAAAGAAAGCACTCGAAGTAAATCCGCTTACAGATGCATTGATTACCTCAATTAGGATCCCAGCCAGGGGCCAGTAATGAATTGAATTAGTATGTAAATTTCCCGAGATAAAGAGGGAAGCAATTTCCCATAGAGTGTGTTTTACACTATTTCCCGTCTCTTTCCACCCCACATTCTCCCTCTCTTTCTCCACTATATTGCCCCTCTCTCTCTCTGTCTCTCTCTCTCTCTGTGTCCGGATGTTGCTAAACGGTTTATCGCACTTGCCACTGGAATCGGATGAGAAGGAGTCTGAAGCGGATACGGCGATATATTATTAATGTCTATTATAAGGCAGAGGAAGCCAATGCGGCGTATGCGCATTTTTTATATTTTTATTTCGTTTTATTCAACCGTTTTTATTACGGTCCTGCCTCAAGGCAACGACACATTTCTGCCAAATGTTTCTCCATTTATCCTTTAGCCCCGGCCATCCTCCTCGTTTCGGCCCCTTTTTGGGTTTCCCCGGTTTTCGTTGGAGCTTTATGGCAAGTTGCGAGTCCTGCGTCCTCAGCATCGCTTAATAAGTTTTTATTGCCCCAACTCACGCCAAGTGGGTGGCAGACGAACGTGTTCGAGCAGCGGTCGACCAGATAATCAACGCCAGTTTCAATTTCAATTTCGGATGGCCACCTGGCCACGCCCACCAATTATCACAGCCGAATTCCTCACATTCCCGCTGGATTTTCGGGCAATATTCCATTGCAGTCAATTTGCGTGCAGCAATGGCGTGAAATTATTCAAGGAAAAATCGTTTTGTGCAAACTTAAATCTCAGGCACGCTTCAAAACTAATCACCATTAACAAAACTAAATTTGTAATTAAACTTTTCGACCAGGTTTAAATGGATTTAAACCATTAAACAATTAGTTCGTTTAGGCGTTGCCTAACCGATTATCATTCTGTTAAAAAATACATAAATATTTTATTTTTGTGCATTTATCTCTGTATTTGTAAAATATATATTCCACATTACACAACTTGGCCTCAAATCAACTGGAATATCGCAAGCAAGCCACCTTCTTTTTGCAGTTTCCGTCTTTTATTCATGCCAGAATATTTCGCTCATATTCGTATTTTTATGGCAACGGGACGTGCTCCCTTGAACAGTTTATGTATGAGTTGGCACGACCATCGATAAATCTTCTTCGGAAGTAAAAAAAAACAAGAAAGGAAAGCTAACTTCGGGCGGAGCCGAAGTTGATATACCCTTGCAGAATATTATGTACATTATATTCTCCAAAATTATTCATATGATGCATTCTTAATACTCATAAAAAATCCCAACTTCCTAACTTTACAAACACCAAAGTTATGGCATTTTCGATCAATCAGTTATATGGCGGCTATAGGATATAGTCGGCCGATCCTTATGACATTTGGTAGGTCGGATTGATTGGCCAAATATAAAACCCATAGAAAATCCCAGCTTCCTAACTCTACAAACACCAAAGTTATGGCATTTCCGATCAATCAGTTATATGGCAGCTATAGGATATAGTCGTCCGATCCTTATGAAATTTGGTAGGTCGGATTAATTGGTCAAATATATAACCCATAGAAAATCCCAACTTCCTAACTTAACAAACACCAAAGTTATGGCATTTCCGATCAATCAGTTATATAGCAGCTATAGGATATAGTCGGCCGATCCTTATGAAATTTGGTACGTCGGATTGATTGGCCAAATATAATACCCATAGAGAGTCCCAACTTCCTAACTTAACAAACAGCAGAGTTATGGCATTTCCGATCAATCAGTTATATGGCAGCTATAGGATATAGTCGGCCGATCCCGGCCGTTCCGACTTATATACTGCGTGCAAAGGAAAGAAGGGTGTGTGCAAAGTTTCAATTCGATATCTTTAAAACTGAGAGACTAGTTCGCGTAGAAACAGACAGACGGACAGACAGACGGACAGACGGACAGACGGACAGACGGACAGACGGACAGACGGACAGACGGACAGACGGACATGGCTATATCAACTCAGGAGGTGATCCTGATCAAGAATATATATACTTTATAGGGTCGGAGATGTCTCCTTCACTGCGTTGCACACTTTTGACCAAAATTATAATACCCTCTGCAAGGGTATAATAATAATAAAAAGAAAAAAACATGTTAAGCTACTTTTGTCATACTAGTCGAGGCAGAGCAAAATAACTTCAAGGGGGAAAAACGAAGTTGGAAAAACTCGGTTCGCTGGAGAAAACAAAACGAAGAGAGATCAATATGAAAAACTAGTTGAATGATGAAGCAATTCAATGATGTTCGGTACATACTTGAGGGAATTTTCTCTCTTAATTGGAGTTCTTTATACGACAAACATAATCGCATCGAAAACCATTTCAATGAGCTTAAGGTTAAACTTCTTACAAGATTGATTCTCAGCTTACAAAATATCTCTGAGATAAATAAGCAATTGGTTTTCATTTTCAAAATATTTTCACAGCTTATCATATCTTAATCACATAAAAGCATTTTAGTCTTGTCTTCAACAAACTTTAAAAGCCTTTTATTCAATTTCAAATGATTATTCTGTGAAAAGTTTATTCTACTCAGTGATATTAAATAAGAGAAAAATGTTTCTTGGCCAGTTATTAAATACCAGATAAATGGATTGTAAATTTTAAATATTTGAGATTTTAAATATTCGACATTTAAAATATTTAAGATTTTAAATAAATTTATAAAAAAACTATCGACCTTTCTGTTTCTTTATCCTGTTTCTATGGCCATTACCACTCTACTTTTTAAATCCATTTTAAGTTACCAAATATTTAGCGCTAGTTCTAAACTGAGCTCCATTTGAAGTATTGTTTTGAGAGCTGTTAAAACTCAGAGACATGCTTCTTGCCCTAAAACTTTTTATTCGCACTTTGCCGTGAACAATTTAAAACCATTTCACGCGCTTCCTTCGACCAAATTGCACCAACTAATCCAGAGTTTCCTTGTCTCCATCAAATCTTTATGAATACTTCGCTCTGCGGATGCAACATTGTGAACTCCCCGGTGCCGTAAACCTCGGAAAAGGGAGAATGGCAACACACACTGGGCAAGGTTTCCGATGGCTTTGTCTTTGGCAAATTGCAGCCGTAAAAGCGGGTCCGGTAAGCGGTGGCTTAACATCAGCCGGATCCGGAAAAGCGGCGACCTGCAGCCATATGCACTTAAGATGTCACACGGAACTGCAACAAAAGCCACATGTGCGGTGTGACCATCCACTCTATCCTTTTCCGTATCCGTATCCTGCGACATGCCCTTTTCCTTTTTATATGGGGCCATAAAATTTTCGTTGTTCCGCCCCGCCCTTCTACCCCTTTTATGGTTGACCAGCGATTAGTTCTTTCTCCCGCACTTTATGACCCAAAGTAATAGGGAGAAAAGGGAATTGGGTGGGGCAAGTCCGCTGATATTGATCAAAGTTCAAGTTGGCATTTCCATATTGCCATCCCATCCACTTTCACTAAAAGCTTTCTCACAAAAGAAGTGCCAGCATTTACTAAGCACTTGACCAAGTATTTGTCAGCCCGCTTGAACCAGTAACCCACATGTTAACATCCCCTCCCAAACAGTTTTTAAATGGTTTCCCCACAACTAAACGTGTTCAATAAACTTACCAGGCAGCAATAAGCATTCAATTAGTGACACTCTCTGCAATGAAATAAGAAAAACAAACATGAGGTGGGACATACTTGCGCACCATAGAGAGAAAATATTTACAGAGTCAGGCAGTTACTTATTTTATCAATATCGATAAAAATGTAATATCAATAAAGAAGTATTTTACACAGCACGCAAAAAATTGGAAACCATTAATTTATTTGTGTGTTATATACCTAAAATTCCTTCTAAGGTTGTCGTCTCCCATAAAAACTAAGCTATTGTGCACAAAACTATAAATAAACTATTAATAAAAAATATATATTTCTTTTATTTATTTATTTTTTGTATGATAATTTTAATTGACAAAATACATTTTATAACATATTTCATAAATATTAGTGCCGTTCATGATAATAATAATAATTTATTATAACAAATTTTAACACAATTTCAACACACATATTTTAAATTTATTATCTTTATGGACCTGTTTTCACATATTCTAGATTTTTTACAATAAAAAAGAAATATTTTGAATAGCTTCTTTTATATCATAACAAATAAAAAATGTATGTAAGAATATAAAATTTAGATAATCAGAATAAAAAGGCGAAATCGCATAAAACCCGGGGTCTAGTGATTAACTATTTCTGAACTGGTATTTATCTGTTTTTTTCTCAGTGTGGGAATTTATTTCCTTTCGGCCATTTCAAAACTATATTGCATACCCCAAGGAGCTCTGCCCATGCCAAACCAAAGCAAACTAAATTCAAGTCGAGTCGACTGAGCACAGCTGCCTGCATCGGGCAAAGAGATTAAACTTGTCGGGCCACAGCCCAGAAATTATTCGAGGCTGGCGCCCCTTTGTTGCTGCTCTTGTTCCTGGTTTCTTGTCTTGTGCAGCCTTTTAATTGGGTTTTCTGCCATATTAGATTTCAGAGCCTTACTTGCCTCGCCAGCAGATTCTCAGTGAAGTCAAATGCAAATCCTTAAAGAGATCAGTCGGCGGGAAAACATAGAAAATAGTGCAAGCTTCAAGTTAAAGTGGTTGTTGGTTATCAGATACTTTCGAATATGTAAGCATTCCTTGAACCACGTGTGGTATAATGTTTCAATTAGAAAATTAGGAATATAATTTGGTTACACTAAGTTATATTTAATACAAACTTACAAGCTTATTAATTCCATATTTTCTGTCTTTTTGTCCGCTTTGAAGACCTCAACCAGCAAATCGATAATATACATATGACATATACAATCAATACCTTGAGTTTATCCAAAGACTTGTACAAAACACAAGGTGATTGTTCTCTAACTATTGAAGAGTAAAGAACCTCTTTTACACGATAAAATGGGCAATTTCCTTCCTACACAACTTAAACAATCGGCAAACAAAGAACCTGTTTTCCCCCTTTTGTTTAAACAATTTATTTATGGATGTATCCACATTTTCAAGCAGCTGGCACTTAATTGCGGCTCTTGTTTTAATTTACGTATATATTCAAGCATTCCAGTTGAGGGCTCTTCAGGCTTGAATAACAAACAAAAATCAGACGGATGAAAAGTCTTTAAATTTTTGAATAAACAGCGAGGAAAACAATTCCCTCAATGCGAATTTCATGCAGTGGAAACTCAATCAAAGGCAAGACCAGACAGCCAACTCACAGAGGATGATTTTTCCGGGCTTTCCACGCCGAGAAACCGAGATGCTTCCCTTTTCGTATGCCTGTTTAACCGCACACAGATACACACGAAGCAAAAATGCAGATACAGAATCAGTCGTGTATTGGAATGCATATTTCGAGCACGCTTCCTTGGTTTTCCCCACAATCCCCACATTTGCATATTCCTCGGTCTGTTTGACTGACTCATTTTCGTATAAGCCGTGCAGAAACTTTCAGCTGGCTCTACCTGTTGGCATTTCGCTGGCAGTGTTTATGGCATATCTTTAATGAGTAGTTCCCCGGCATCAACATCATCGCCGTCATTACCTCATCGGGATCAGTTTTCTCTGTGTTCATCCCCGTCGTCTAATGCCACTTTGTAAGTGGTTATTTAGCGTAAGTAATGCAATAAGTCTGCTCCCCTTCTGTTCCTTTTAGATATTTCCGGCATGGCCTGCACCAGACTTGGCTCCTCTCCGTGTAATGCTCCTTCTACTGCTACACCGAAAAACGACTGTGAAAAGTGTAGGAATATTTTCCACGGCTATTTTCCACGGCTGAAGGAGATGGCATAAGTAACTAAAAGATGGAACTGAAAAGTGAATTAGTGCGACGCGAATGTGAATGCAGCTTGCACTCTAATTCATTCCATAGAATTTTAATTGGCTTCGTGCCGAACGCAAAGTTTAAACAGGAGTTAACTTTTTTCAGGTGTTTTCCAATTGTTGGTAACAAAGAGCAAATGTTTTTGCAGCTTTCGTTTTACCTTTTTTCCTTGAGCAACTTTCGGGGACACTTTTTTAAACGAATGACGGAATTAAATGACAAAGTTTTTCCTTCATCGCCATTCAAAATGCATGAGCAGCGGTAGTTAAAAGCAGCTGGAAACTGCTAGAACAGGTATAGTTTTTTTTAACTGAGTCTTCTTTTCTTTACTTCATTTACAATTTAAATGCGGAATTTCTTTAGCTCTTCACTTGATGGTCATTAGGTTCCTAATAATTAATTAGCAGTTAAATGCAGCTGCAAATTTGTCGAGTTTTTCCTTTACTCAAACTAAGTACTTATACCTACAAGAAAAAAATGAGATTACAATCTGGATTTCTTGCTTTGTGTCCCTAATGTAATGAGATTACCATTTGAAAGTTAAAAGCTAAAAGTAAAATAGATTCTTATTAAAGAGCAAATTACTCTTAAAAAATATATAAAAGAGTTTTTCTAAGCGTTTGTTCTCAAAGCCTTTAACAGATTAACGAAATATTCTTTTTCACGTGACTTCGAAAATATATAAATACATTTTGCCAATAATAGTTTGTAAAAAAAAAGTAAAAACTATGATATTGTTAAATTAAAGGATAGAAATTGAATTATTAATTATTTAATTAAGTTTATAATTATTCACACCTTTTCTAAGCAGCCAAACAAAGCTACAAATTGTAATAAATAGTTTATAGCTTTATTCGCTCTATACTTATTATATTATACTTATTCCTCTGCATATTAATTATTAGGAATTGGTAATACTAACTATTTGATTTTTCAAACTGAATTTAACACAAGAATCTTAAACTTTTCACTGCATGGCCACAAAACGTTGAAGTCAATGATAATTAATTACTTAACAGGCAGACAAATTGACACTTGAACCTTGTGAGTCAATATTTGTTAACTTCATAACCTGCACTTTGGTATTACCTAATTGATATTTAATATGCTTGCTCGTTGATGTAATTAAAATGTTCCTTGCTTGTTATCAATTAAGTGACGTAATTCTGCAGCAAATTCGAATGAATGGAAACTAATTTCGGACAAGAAAACTCAACTTTACAACTGGCATAAAAAGCGATTTAAATTCAATGGCCACACCCAGCGATAGTTAACAACCTTCGACGTTCGATTCTGGTCGCCGAGACAACTGTAAACGCTCTATATATGGCTCCTAGTCCATCGAAATCGGCTGGCGACGGGGCGTATGCGCTATAAAGAGACACTGCGTACGTGACAATAAAATGAAATGTGTAATAGCCGCTGACGGCAAAAAGCTAACAAACTGCCGAGCAGATGTAGCTCACGCTGCTCTTTTTTCGTGGTTTTCCGGGCGAAGGGGAAAACTGGAGAATTGCGAATGCAACTGCAAGTTGACAAATTTATTTTCCATTGCGATGGCAGGCAGCAGAACGCGACTCGAGTGCAAATGAGCAGAAGGAAACATTACAAAACAAACATGGCCAGTGAAAGATGGAGAGGAAAATGGTATGGCATTCGCTGCTCGGAATTTGTCGCATTGTGGCAAAATATACGACACAAAGGCACTGCAAAAAATGCAAGAAAAAACAAATTCAATTTGCAAGCTAAATAAATACGCAGTAGAGGATACTTAACAAAGATGATATAAAAGGGAGTTTATTACTTATATTTTCCTACAGGCGATATTTGTTAAAATAAAATGAAAAGTAAACAATTATTTGTTTTAAAAAAAATCCGTGGGCAAATAAGTAGCATTAATTAAATCAGTTGGTGAAATTAAATTTAATAGCCTTTGCTCTTTCACTGAAATTTAACAAAGGGTTTTTTCTTTAATATATCTACCCCGTATGCAAACAAAAATGGAAAACATTAATTTACTTTTTAAAGGGATAAAGGCACTTTACAATGATCCAATTAACCAAATATTCATTTAAAATTTGAATAAAAAAAAACTAAAAACAATTAAGTTAAACAAGAAAGGAAAGCTAACTTCGGGCGGAGCCGAAGTTGATATACCCTTGCAGATATATACTCTGTATATAATATTCTCCAAAATGATTCATATGATGCATTCTTAATACTTATAAAATATCCCAACTTCCTAACTTTAAGAACACCAAAGTTATGGCATTTCCGATCGTTCAGTTATATGGCAGCTATAGGATATAGTCGGCCGATCCTTATGAAATTTGATAGGTCGGATTAATTGGCCAAAAACAAACGCCTAAGAAAATCCCAACTTCCTAACTTAACAAACACCAAAGTTATGGCATTTCCGATCAATCAGTTATATGGCAGCTATAGGATATAGTCGGCCGATCCTTATGAAATTTGGTAGGTCGGATTGATTGGCCAAATATAAAACCCATAGGAAATTCCAGCTTCCTAACTTTACAAACACCAAAGTTATGGCATATCCGATCAATCAGTTATATGGCAGCTATAGGATATAGTCGGCCGATCCCGGCCGTTCTGACATATATATTGCGTGCAAAGGAAAGAAGGGTGTGTGCAAAGTTTGAACTCGATAGCTTTAAAAGTGAGAGACTAGTTTGCGTAGAAACAGACAGACGGACAGACGGACAGACAGACGGACAGACAGACGGACAGACGGACATGGCTATATCAACTCAGGAG